TACGATTTTTCCCAGTACTAGCTTCGGTGTTAAGATGCTTATCGTTTGCGGGCTGATTAGATGAAGGTTTTGGTTGAGTGACTTCACTTCCCTCTATTGTTTCGCAAACCAATTCCACATTATTCTCGCCGTCATTTTCCACAATTGTTTTCGTGCACGTTTGTTGGTGGTCATTTTGTATTAATTTAAGAGCTGTCAACAGGCTGCTCTTTTCGCTTTCCAGATTCTTGTTTGCCATTTTCAATTCAGATATAATATGAGACATATCCATGTTTTGTTCTCTGAGTTCGTCGTTCTTTCTAATTAGCACAAGCTTATCTTCCTTTAGATCATTGACTACGTTTTCTAAAACCAAAATAGAGTAGGGTTTGTTCTCTTTAATGTTGTTTATCTCAACGCTGAGATTTTGTAATTTGTTTGTCACGTTTTCAGAAAATCTGTCAAGTTTCGAATTCAGTCGACTAATCTCAGCGGAGTCACGATTACAGCTGGCACTACTTCCCAAGGGATTATGCCTATTTGTTGATTTTGTTTGCAGATTGCCAGACTTTGTCACCGTATATAGACCAATGGACTCTTCATGCAAATTTTTTGACTTCGTGTTCGATTCATCGTGCTTTGTACTGGTTTCGGAATCTATACTGCCTTGTTTTTCCTCTTGGTTTTTCAATTCCTTTGCAATATCACATTGATCACTGAACGATTCTTCAAAAGTATCATCTGTGACATCGTCAGAATCGTCAGCTAGCAAACTTTCAATCGACCGTTCTAGATCAAGTTCAGCAGGATTAGCGATTTCTGAAGCATTGTCCGGGTCTTGCTTTAAAAATGAATGTATTCGTTCCATCAAGTCACTGCCCTTCTCACCGTCGAAATAAATATTCTGGCTTTTTGTTAGCCAAGTAACTGATAACAACTTGCTGTCAAATAGCCATTTACCGCCACTGGGCGAGCGCCATGTAGTTGTTTCGGCAGTTTCTTCGTCAATCGCTGTGAGGACAAACGCTTTCAGAGTTTCGAGCGATCCAGTCCAAATCAGTTTGCTCCTTTTAATATTAAAATAACTGTACAAGATGTTCGAAACGGTTGAGGAGGCCCCCATCATATTCATGTTTCAAGGTCTATCCGGAGCACAATGGCGGGTATGCGTATAATAATAAGAGACGGAATTTACATAATATTTTCGTCAATTTACATTAATACTGCGGCTTAATACAGGCAGTCTCATTGTATTTATACTTTGTTCATGCCTCTTGTGGCATGTGGACTTTATATATTAATCAGATACTTAATAATAATATTGAATTATTTTTTACATGAAAATGTAGCATGGCTTTGTGTAATACGATCTCTACAACACGTACACGACAGGTAAAACGGATCATGTTGCCAAATTGTGAATACTTATTCATGACACATGTTTCTTCTTTGAATAAAATTCGAGGAGCAGTGAATTAAACGTGGAAATTCACTTCCTGCGAATTAACAATCAATCAAATGTTTTAAACTGCATCACTATATGTTGCAAAATCTTTTGACCATCCATGTAAAAGGACAAAATATGCGATTAAATAACAATTTTTAAAACGTCAATTTGTGCTTGTCAATCTATTTCTCCATAAGAATTGGATGTTTGCTTGGCATTGGGCGAAACAGTAATTTTTCATGTAACATTTTTTCGCAAACAGGACACATATTAATTTGGTTGGCGATCCCCTCCTCGGCTGCCAAAAGTAACTACCCCCCTCATACCACCACCCCCCCGATGTTCAGCAACGAAATTTTTTACTAACGTACGAAAAATCGTAGGTCAGCCCCTGAGAAATCATACATAGTGGACGTACGTGGTTTATTCTACTTCTTTTACAATTTGAGTATCAAGTGGAAATAATATAATTCTTCAACAGTAAACAGTGAATTATATAACGCCACGTTGTTAATCGAGAATTTGAAAAAAAAAATAGATTGTTTGCATTCACCTTGCCTCAAGCTAACTGAAAAAAGTCTGTCGAAGTATTCATTATAATGTGGGTTTGACTTCAGTTACTACCTGCACTTTTTACACATTTTTAATTTTATTTTTTGAGTCTATTTATACAGTATAACTGGAATACCGCCCAACTATTACCAGGGAGAAACGAAAATGCAGAACAGGCAGCGACATAAACCGAGCAAACATTACACTAGATATTTCTACAGATTTTGATCTGCAACCAGCACGAATTGAAACATCATGTAATATATTTAATTTTACTGTTTACTGCTGGGCCATGATGACGTTCAATTCTGCGTTCAATTGCACTGTTTGTGGCCCGTTCGCGGGCTAAACATTATGTACGCTCCGAAAAACGTTGTGAAGTCGTGAAGTTGTGACGGAGCGTGTTCGACTTTACTTCGGAAACTGTCGTTAATGCCATGAGGCGATGATATTGATATAGTAATGCACAGTCCACAGATCTGCGAATAAAACATCAATAATTCATCACAAATACAGGTAAACCAATTATTTTCCATCTCTAGTCAATTATAATGCTAAAAACATCGCAATTTTGGTCTGCTCTGGTCAAAAATATTTGATTAGGCCAGTGGCGTAGCCAGAACGATAATTGGGAGGGATGGGGGGATATTCATGCCATTGGCATTGTTGCTTGCACTGATCTTACATCAGGCGCTTACGAGAGGTCCACGTATCAAATAGAAACTGAAATAGAAACTGAAATATAAAATCAAATCAAACTTGCCATTGTGCAATTAAACAAAACCAACCTTGCCATATTTGTGTAGCTATAAAACAACCTTGACTGTTGAACTTGAACAAAACAACCTTGACTGTTGAACTTGACTGAAAATATGAGTGTAGCAATTGAGATCAATCGTTCAAGAATTGTTTCACACCATAAATTTACACGAGGAAATTACATTCTGGAATCAAATGTTGATGATGTTCTGTTTAAAAGTATTTTACTTACCATTGTCTAGCCGAGACCCCAAACTGTTGTTATCTAGTTATTGTCGTATCTTATACTAAACTATGTTGAACTTTAACTTACCGATGTACAAGATGCCGAACGCGGGATATATTTGCTGTTGACAAGGTATTCGGTCCCAGGGGTGAATTGGAGGGCCGGGGCTTTCTATTTATGATGATTGCATAATCTCTTAAATCATGTTTGAAAGTTTTTTGAAATTATGGTGGCACCTTGTGAAAACCCGCACCCTATTAAAGTGTATCAATCATCCTACGTCCTCGCGATGATTTCAGTGATTTCTGTTTGGTTGACGTATAATCCACTAACGCCATACGCAAATGCAAGTACGCTTAGCGTACCTATTTTTATTCCAAAGGCTAACCACGTGTACGCAGTGCGTACCTATTTTTCCAGGTAGATATGTAGTGTTTAATATACGAGCAGGAGTGTTTTATTAGGTTTCAAGCCCTGCGAATTTATTAAACGGAATTCAAACACGACCACAAATTCAACAGATATACTGTACTGCCTTATTAGTGTTCTTTATATAAAGAATACTAATGAGAACACAACTAGAATAGATACTGCCTTATTAGTATTCTTTATATAAAAGAAGACTTAGTATAGATTAAAAATTTTTTTGTTATTTTTCTAGGTACAGCAATTTGTGCTGGGCGAAGATCACTTTGCCTTTCAACTTGCAGAAATCGTGTTCCTATACATGTATGTGACATCATTTGCGACAATGTACGTACATGATTATTGCACATTATAAGTCATGTTTACGTTGGAAATGAAATATGACAGTTTGTAACCATATAATATTTCCAAATAAGGTCAATGCCTTGTTTAATTTAATTAACAAAATAGATGATTATTTTCTACATTCCTGATTCCATACGGCGCATTGTGTGAAATGTATCGAAATGCAGCTCAAAAGCGAGCAAAATATGTCTGATCAGGGCCGCCGAGAAGGGGGGAGGCAGGGGGGGAGGCAAATTACCCCGTGCTCCCAGGTTCTGGGGGCCCCTAGAAAATTTTTGTTGGGACCCAGTCATTTTTTTGGGTGAAACATTTCCGCGCAAAGGGCAAGATTTTTGATTTTTTTTGGCAAAGTACCGAAATTTCGTATGTAAAATATTGGTAAAGTCACTGGAAAGCAATTACAACGCATTAGGGCCCCCTAAAAATAGGGGCCCCTAAAAAAAATTTGCTCCGGGCCACCGCCAAGCTCTCGGCGGCCCTGTGTCTGATGCAAATATCTGAACATTTTTTCTGAATATAGGTTATGAAATCTTTACGTAGAAACGTCTGTGATAGTAGATGCACAATACTCCCTGTTGGACACCAACGAAGTACATGCTATAGAACGTGCTATATTGTAAGTATAGAGACTTATTAATCAGAGCGCTGGCTGGCGCAGGAGCTTCGAATCAAAATGCGAAACTGTAATAAAAGTGTGCATGGGAATTAGAAACATATGCCAGAAAGGGTTGCATCGGATATATCGATGTGAAACATTTCCAGACGTATACCGGATACTTTTATATAAAGTTTGATATTTAGTTTATAGATGCTGTAAATTCTGTAATGTAAACAAACACTTTATTTACATTTTGAACTAAGTTCTACAGTTCTAAAATATGATTAAATAATTATATCTTATATCGAATTTTTAACATTAATTCTTCTGGTTTGCTATGCTTGTAAATGAATACAGACTGGAGATACGTTTCAAAAAGATTCGGAAGGTGCGAAATATTAGTAACATTCCAATGGTCGGGTTCCGACCATTGGAAAGTAGGTCTGCGCAGAATGGACTTTACAGCATTAAGGTAAAATAATGATTTTAAATGGTTATAGAATTAAAGAGGGTGTTTATGATTTTTTGACTTGAAGAAATAGGAAACGACTTCACAGTTAAACATCGAAAAATTTGCATAATTGCCTTTGCCAATGCCCACATATTTCAAAAGTAAAATCCGCTTTTTGGCATTCTTACTTGGCAATTTAGAGATCAAATTAATACAGGGAGCAGTAAGGGTAAGCTTGACAAGGGTGCCATGTTTCATATTTATTCAAGCTGTGTCTATAATATATTGAGTGTAGTGCAAGTGTTACTTCTAAATCGAGATTCATACCAAACCCACAGTTTCAAAATTTCTACGATATCACTCCTCACATAAACATGTTGGCGTCTTTGTCCCCCTACTTCCTCCTACAATGTTGATGTTGACATTCATTCAACAACGTTTTCACCTAGCATTTTTAATAAGCTTTCAACATTGAGCGGGAGGGAGAGGAGGGAGAGGAGGAAGAGGAGGAAGAGGAGGAAGAGGAGGGAGGGAGGGATTTGGAAGTTAAAAATTGCTGTTTTTGGACGTTTGTATTGTGAAAGGATGGTATTTCTATTTCCATGCGGCTGTACACAATAACTTTTTCCAGGATCATAGATAGAAGGACTAAAAATAGCTTTTTTCCTTTTTCCCTAGTGCTTCCCTATTTGATTGTTACCATGCAGAAGATGCGCAGTTTTGAATAAATTTTTGTCTCGAATAATATTTCATTATGACTATACGTAGATCTCTTTAACGATGAAATCGTATATACTGTAATTAGTATTAAAAAACATAGGTATTATACTAAATACATCATAATTATATTGTATAATTTTAAAACATAATAAAATTGAATTTTTCATTAAAATTGTTTTGTGTGGATACTGACAGAATCTTTCGCATTTCGAATCTGTCGTCGTTTTACGAAAACAAAAATTCAAGCTTGCATTGAACATAATGAACAATGATCGATAAATTGCGTTCCAAGCCACAGTGGTGGGAAAATAGGCGAGTATGTGAGCATTGCTCGCAGGAAAAGTTAAACAGTTACAGGAATTCGTTTGAATAAAGCTTTTCTAATTGAAATACGAAGAAAACTTTCCCGCTATGGGCACAACGACATATGGTTGACAGACATTATTCCTTGAATTTAAAACCATGGTCAACTAGAACACTATATGTATATAAACTTGCGGATTTAACACAACCATTCTCCGTTTGCTGCAGGAAATTTTTGTCTCCAGTTTGTGTTACACGGAACAAAATTCCATTTTACTGCCCTGCCAAGCCATTGGCTGGATGCT